TATATAACATCAACAGGTTTGATTTTACAAATCTTCACAGAATTGTCGAATTTTAAAAAAATATCTCGTTTAAACTGTACAAAGTCAAGTGAATATGCATACTATAAAAAAAAAGTGGCCAAATGTGTTCCCAGAGAACAGCCGCAACCAGGATCCCAAGTTACTTATCGGAAAAGTTCCAGATTCTTGCGAAGTTTTAAAGCAGAATGTAGTCTGTGTGGTGAAAGTTACTTTCGGAATTTACTTGACCTTGTACGCCCATCAGGGTGAGGTCTCTGCTTTTAGTGGGGCCTCATTTATGTCGGCATTACCTCAGGCAGGAAAGTCGCATTATTAAGACATCTCGTATTCTACGAATGGAGAAGGTGAGGTGGCGTTGGTAGCCTAGTGGTTACGCTACCAGACCTGTAATCGTGAGATTTTGGGTTCGGTGTTTCGAGGCTCAGCTCAGTCGTTGTGTCCAATGATTTACGGTCTCTGGTTGTGTCCTTGGGAAAGGTACGTTCCTCGAATATCCATATTATTTAGCTCAGTCCTTTCGGAGATGCAAGTTGTTGGAGGGCGCCACTGGTGGGTCCTGCGTCTGTCTGTCTGTGAGTCTTACTTTTTCCCAGCATTAAATGACCTGTATTGGGAAGACCGCCTGGGACCTGGAGAGGAATCACAGAAATTGATGTACAGAAAAGTGGGAAGACATAGAATAACATCAAAAGGCTATCCCAGGATAGAGAAAAGTGGAAAGTTTTTGTCTGTGGCCTATACCCTTGTGCAGTGTGAGAACGGCAATGATGGTGATGATAATTGTGTCGATGTGCTTCTCTTTATTTACCCAAACAAACCTTTCGGAGATGAGCGATAAACTCGGAGGTCCCGCCTCTGAAATAACATAATGGTGTTGATAGGGGCATCAAAGGTATACCATTTTGGGGGGAAGGTGGTCAAAATTTGCTCTTACAGTTTGTGTGTCGGTGGTTGGCGGGTGCTCTGGTGTGGTCTGCTTTTTCTTTCCTATCAAACATCTATCTTTCTTATCTCTCCTCGTTTTTTTGTGTTTGCTACTCTCTTGTAACACCTCTAATCTTCGGCACTTATATGACCATGGGTGGCTGGTGGGTGCTCTGGTGTGGTTTTCTCTTTCTTTCCTATCAAACATCTATCTTTCTTATCTCTCCTCCTTTTTTGTGTATGTTACTCTCTTGTAACGCATCTATTCTTCGGCACTTATATGACGGTATTGTACTGCACGTGCCGTTAAACTCTTACTAAAACTTTTAAATTAAAAAACAACGTATATTACCTTATCATGTTGCAAGTACAGTAAGACTAACTGAAACTTTCTTTTTTTAAACCAACTTGTATGACCTTGTCGTGTTACAAGGGCCGTAAAGCTCATACTGAAACTGAAACGGCTTGTGTGTATCACCTGTAAACAAAACACACGTATCGTTTTGTTTGTTTTTTGTGAATGGTTGGCGGGTGCTATGGTGTGGTTTGCTTCTTCTTTCCTATCAAACACCTATCGTCCGTATCTCCCCTTCTTCTTTTTTTATTTGTTTGCTACTCTTTTGTAACACCTCTAATCTTCTGGCGCTCCTATGACCTTAAGCAGTTTCAAGTGCAGTAAAACTCTTACTAAAACTTTTTTTAAACCAACTTATATGACCTTATTGTGTTGCAAGTGC